CCTCCTCCTCCTCCTCAACTTACCAGCCTCGAAAGTATCCCTATCCCTAAGATTGACACGCCAAAGGCGATGACAATCTTAGGGATTCGCCCTCAAAAAATCAGGGAATCCCAAAGATTGGCATCGTGATGAGGAGGTGCCCAGCATAGGGATAGGGATATGTTCCAGGCTGGTTATCAACCTCCTCCTCCTCCATTTCATCCATTTCCTCCTTCTCCTCCTCCTCCTCCTCCTCCTCCTCCCCCTCTTCTCGCCTTGGACCATGTCGCCACAACCCGCAGACGGATCGTGCCGAACAGGGAGCTGAGACCGCCAAGTCCCACCAACCCTGTGGGCGCAGGTGGTCAAAAGATGGCAACTCGCGTCCCCAGGTCTCGAGAAGCGATCACGGGGCCTAGTTGGGTCATCTTGAGCTGCATCGGGCTCCTGTGATGCTATCTTGGGGGACCCTTGGGGGTCGTCTTGAGGCCATATTTCGGGCCCTATTGAACTGTCGGTGGGCTATGTTTGCCGCCTGGGGGGGGTATTGGGGCCGTCTTGCGGCATTATTGTACAACGCACCTCGCATTTTGCGGCCGAGGCCCTCTAGGGCCAAAACGCGCCATCGTCGAACAAGCCCCGAAGCCTGAAGCGCAAGGATCGTCATTCTATTCGCGTTGTGTGCCTCTGGCAGTTAGACCGTTGGTACCTGTCCGTGTGTGCCGACGTCGTGTTTCCCCCTTGGGGAGCCTCGGGGATCGGGGAGCCGAGTCGCCGAGTCGGCAATAGCCTATAACTAAACCGGCCTCCTCTTTCGTCTCCATCCTCCCCCCGTCTCCCTGCGCCACCCCTCCATCGCGCAACGCAGCTAAAATATCGGATCCCTATACAGTCTCATTCTCCCTCCTCCTCGACATCGCCCTTGTCCCAATCGTCCTCCTCCTCCTCATCGTCCCCTTGTCATCTCCAACAAATCATCTTCCTCGTGCCCCTGCTCATGATGAGGGCCCGTTCTGGACTCGTGCGTGGTGCTGCATCTGACGGATGCCATGCGACTTTGACGCGCACCCACCGTGTATCGAGCTTACGTTCCTGCTGCTGGCCTTGTTCTGCGCGTTATCTGAACTACCGCTGCTACGACTGCTCCTGCTCCTCCGTGTCTTCCTCACCGTCAGATGATTTGCCCCCGTCGTGCCCTCTCCTGCTGCCTCTTCATCCTCGTCCTGCTGCTCCCTGCGATCCCCAACAACTATCTCGTCCGCCTGTTTCTCCTCCGCCTCCAGCCTTTCATCACCCGTCGTCTCCTCCTGTCACCCTTCCGGTCGAACCCTGCCAGCGTCGCACCCCCTCGCACTCGACTTCGCTCTGCTGCGTCCTTGCGCAACCTTCTAAACGATACCCTGCCCCATTGTTTGGCGGCGCGCACAGGGGGGCGGAGGGAAGGGGGGAGGGCTTCTGCGAAGGAGGCTGCTTCTTAGAAGGCGCCAGGCTCGCATCTATAGAGAAGGCCCGCGCCTTCTGAGAAGCAGGGGTGATTCTAAGAAGCCCTCCCCCCTCCCCCACCCCCCTCTGCGCGTGGCTGAATTCTGCTACCGTGCCACAACATCCCTAACGCACGGGAGCGAGAGCCTTGCCGAAACGCTGGGTGAACTTCTCCCGCAGGTCGTCAGACGTTATCGTGTCGTCCAAGCGGCCGACAAACACCTCAACATTACCGAATGAAAACGCATAGATCTGAAAAGTCGTACGATGAGGACGAACATGATGATGAGCAGCGGCAGCAGCAGCAGCAGCAACTGCAACAACCTGAAATCCAAAAAAGAATATTCACATATGACGCTCCGTTCGGGCCACGCGAGCCACCCAACCAATGTCAATAAAGTCAGGCCGTTTACCAATACGGATGTCAAACAGGATTGACGCTGTGCATATCATCGGCGACGCCATTCTCCTCCTCATCCAGCTCCTCGTCATTCCGCACTTCATGTTCAATCTTCATCGAGGCATTCCACTGACTAGTGACCCCGACAAGTATGCTGGAAGCTGCTGGATGACAGAATGTCGAACGACCACCCTGAGGAATCTACACAACTCGTGCACGCTCAAGCTCAAGGCCCTGGAACATGATGCGCGGAACTGCACTGCGCTGCACTGCACTGCGCAAGCCGTACGCCGTCGGACAGGTGGGCGGAGAAAGGCTGACTTGAAGCGTGCACGGCCAATGCGCCTGCTAAACACGGCATTAGGCTATATGGGGAGGAGGAGGATGGATGGGACGTCATCAAAGAGGCCCTGGCGGCCGTCCGCAAGCAGACGACCGCCAGGGACCCAGATGTCAGAGTCCGCTACGCGGCCACGCTCCCCGCGCGCGGCCGTGGCGCACTCGTCGGCGTCGCCCGCGGCCGGAGGAGCAGGAGCAGGAGCAGGACGAGGACTCTCACAAACCAAGAGTTTGGCGCACCCCCGAGAACTGCAGCCGCGGGTCGAGAAGCACTATCTCCAAGCTCGGGTCGGACGAGAGGCTGGCTCAACAAACAGTTGAGCAGGGACCGACCGTCCCAGCATTCCTGTAGGCCCTCCACGACATATTCCCAGAACAAGAGAATGCTCCAATGACATAAGTCATGTTCTTGGAACATAACGCCGATGTACAGAGAGAGAGAGAGAGAAATCTCAACCAACAAAGCTCTGAGAACATGCTCTGCAAGCCGGACGAGGTTCTTGGAACATGACTTGCTGGGTGTCTAGGCGAACCAGGACGCTTCGCCACTGCTTGCAAAACGGTGGGGGGGTAGCTAATCAGCTCACGTAGCTGGTGCTCCCGACGCCTCCTGGCGCCGGAGGCACCGATGCCTCGAGGCAAGCGCCAAGGCGGCGGGGCCTGAACCGGCCGCGCGCGGCTGTTGTCGCACCCCCCTCTCCAATACCCCCCCTCTCGTGTGCGAGGCGGCATTCTCGATCCTCGCCCGCTGGATCTGGCAAAGTCCTGGCTCGCAACTCCTCTTGTTCCCAGGGTCGTGACAGTGCGGGGGAACTTCAGGGGGGGAGACGTCGACCTGGAATCGGCAACGAATCGCCACAGGCCCCCCGATAGTAAAACCACACGACACGTTCCCGGGCGGGGTGGGCCATCGGGCTCCCATCGGCGATGCATGGGCGATTGGGGGCCGATGCACCCCCCCGAGCCAACCCCACCCCGTGCCATCGCTCGGACGGCCATTCCCCGTGCATGTTTTGGTGTCGTGCTCGATTTTTTTTTTTTGTGTGTGTGTGTGTGTGTGTGTGTGTGCGTGCGTGCGTGCGTGCGTGCGTGCGTGCGTGCGTGCGTGCGTGTGTGTGTGTGTGTGTGTGTGTGTGTGTGTGTGTGTGTGTTAATATATTCCTCTTCCTATATTTTTACAAGCCCGGGTGGCCGCAAAACCCCGCACCCCCCCCCCCCAAACCGGACTCCTGGGATCCTGGGACTTTGGGACCCTCCGGACGCCCATTGAAGCGGTCCCGAGTGCCTCAAGAGCGCTCCAAGACAGGCACAAAGCGCTCCAAGACGCCAAAGATAGCCCCAAGACAGCCTCAGGAGCCCCCAAGACGCCCCAAGCGGCCCCAAAGAAGCCCCCCAAGACGGCCCCGGGAGGCCGAAATGGTCAATTTTCCAATGTGTTTTTCGATGTTTTCTGCTTTCTCGCCATTTTAGCTTTCCGACGCTCCAAGACAGAACTAGAGGCCCTCAAGAGCGCCCCAAGATGGCCCGGGGGGCCCCCAAAACGGCCCCAACACGGCCCCAAGACGGCTCTGGAGCGCCCCGAAACAGCCCAAGAGGCGCCCAAGAAGGCCCAAGAGGGCCCCGAGAAAGCTCCAAACGAGCCCCCACAGGGCGATCAAAAGTTCAAACATCTAACTTTCCGCCCCAAGTGGACCCCAGGAGGCCCCAGGAGGGCCCCAAGAGGCCCCAAGAGGCTTCCAAAGGCCCCGAGGACTCCCAAAAAGAACCCACGAGGCCCCAAAATGGCTCTCCAAAAGGCAGCCAAAACGGCCCCCCAAGAGGCTTCAAAACTGCTGAATCGCCCCACTTGACCGCCACCTCCGGAACGGCTTCGCTGCGCTGCTCCGTTGTTTGCCAGACAGTGGCATCCCACGCAAAACACCAAAATGCTTGAAATCCCGGGTTCGCAACCAAATTCCCGGGAAATCGGCTGCGAACCCGGGATTCGGCACATTTCCCCGGAATTCGGTAGATGTCCTTAGCATTTCCAGGATCCGGTACGTTGCCTGCATGCTTGCTGCCCTATGCCCTATCGCATCCCAGAATAATCGTTCCATGGAGGTTTCACGAGGGCCCTTCCAAGTCATTAAGGAAACATTGTTTTCCACACGTGTTCGCACACATGCATCCGTAGCCGTTAGCTTACATTTTTTAGCTGTTGCATACGGCACATCCTTCGGTGCGACGCGGACAAATTGCTTTGCCGCTCCCCGTCGGCACCTTCATTATCCCTCTCCCTCCTCCTCTTCCTCCTCATGATCTGGCAGTCCTTGGAGCCGCAGCCCCCTGGTCTGTTTCCATATGTGATCGCAAGGCATCTCCGTTTGTCTCACCCCCATGCGCAAGTCGAGACAGCACGCCGCCCCAATGCGTGCCTTACCTTACCTTACCTCATGATATTCCTCCCTTCGCCGCGCCTCCCCAAATCGTCCTCCACTTCTTTCCCGCCCCTTCTGTCCGACGTTTTGTATTTCCGGAGCCTCCACGGCCGCTCTCATCGCCGCTGATCGGTCCGCTGGGACATTCTCATGGAGTCCCAGTGGCGCGCGGACCAGCAGAGCGAGGGCGCGAGCAAGTAAGGTGCAGGTCCGGGAACTGGGCGCGAACCAACCGCGGTTCAAAGACCGTGGAGGGCCGCGCTAGACGCCAACGCGCGCAAGGGTTGAAGGACCAAGGTGCATGGCGCGAAGCGCCAATGCAGTCTTGTATATATATATATATATATGTATGTATGTATATGTACATATGATCAAGATTAGCCAGGATGCTCCTCGATGGCCCCCAACGAGACGAAATGCACACGACCGAGCGATGCCAAGCCCCCTACCGATGCCCCTAAGACAAATCCTGCCGGACGTCTTGCCGGCAGTCGGGGGGAGCGCCGCGGCAAACGAGGCCGGGGGACGCCCCGCGCGCGCTCCCGCCGCAGCGCGGGGTCCCTCGCCATGACACCGGCCTCCGGCTCCTCAGCCTCGCATCCGGGTCCAACCACACACCCCCGCTCTCGACCTCCTGCTGCTCCTCCGTTGCGGCTCCCTTCCCTGTCCTCCCCCTCCCTTCCCTCCTCCTCCTCCTCCTTCTCCTCCTTCTCCTCCTCCTCCTCCTCCATTTCTTTTCCTTATTCATAACTTTTCCCCGTCGCACAGCGAGGCCAGTTTTTAGGGCGGGCTGGGCGTTTCGCCTCAGACTTCCCCACCATTTACGAACCGAAGCTTAACAATTGGCAACAGCTTCACAGATGGAGGGCGGGTGGTTTTCAAAATGTGGCTCTCGCCTTAACGCGGCGCACATTCGTTTGAACCTTTTGCAAGAAATTCACGGATTGAGGGCGGGTGGTGTTCAAAATGTGGCTCTCGCCTAAGCGCGGCGCATATTCGTTGAAACAATTGCAAGAGCTTCGCGGATTGAGGGCAGATGGTTTTCAAAATGTCGCTCTCGCCTAAGGCGCGGCGCACATTCGTGCGAAAAGTGCAACTGTTGCACGGATTGAGGGCGTGTGGTTTTCAAAATGTAGCTTTTCGCCCTGGTGCGGCGAACATTCGCTTGAAAAATTGCACGAGCTTCACGGATTGAGGGCGGTTCCTTTTTCAAGTGTGGCTCTCGCCTTAGCGTCGCGCATATTCGGTTCAACAAATTGCAATTTCACGGATTCCCAGAAATTGTGCTATCAGCGCACCAGAAATTGCGCTATGAGAAGATTCAGGACTACGCGGGCGCAACAGTTACGTTGATTCGCTGTGACGTCCCAGGAATGGTGTTCTAGCACGATTATGGATCGTCAACACGCAGCAGTCAGGTTGATCCGTGGCGTTCAAATCCCGAAAACAACGTTTTAGCATGCTACAGGGTCTTCAAGCGTTGTCTTCCAACAAGGCAATCCCATCAATGTGAATGAACCGTTGTAAGGGCCTATGAAGAGGGAGCTTGGAGGGAGGGCTTATTCAAACATCCTTGATCTTTCTTGGGTTTACCCTGGTCCGCTTCCTCCTCCTTTCCTCCTCCTCCTCCTTTCCTCCTCCTCCTCCTCCTCCTCCTCCTCCTCCTCGTCTAGTCCTTTTCCTTATTAATAACTTTTCCCTGTCGCACAGCGAGGCCAGCTTTTAGGGCGGGCTGGGCGTTTCGCCTCAGACTTCCCCACCATTTACGAACCGAAGCTTAACAATTGGCAACAGTTTCACAGATGGAGGGCGGGTGGTTTTCAAAATGTGGCTCTCGCCTCGGCGCGGCGCACACTCGTTCGAACCATTTGCAAGAGTTTCACGGATTGAGGGCGGGCACAGGGAGAAGCCTCGGCCCCCGTTGAGCTGAGCCCCCACTTAATTACGACGCCTCGAGCTCACCTCCTCCTCCTCCTCCTCCTTTCCTCCTCTCCTCCTCCTCCCCTCCTCTTCCTCCTCCTCCTCCTCCTCCTCCTCCTCCTCCTCCTCCTCCTCCTCCTCCTCCTCCTCCTCCTCCTCCCTTGCGCATCACCACCACCTATCACCGTCACCACCACCATCCTCCCCATCACCATCCTCATCACCACCACCACCATCATCCTCATGACCGTGCCGCCACGTGCCTCACCAACACCACCAGGACCATCACCACCACGACCATCACCAGAAGCACCGCCACGAGCACTCACCCACACACTCACCACCATCACCACCGTGCACCACCGCGCCACCATTCACCATCCCCTCCTCCTCCTCCCGCTGCCGCGCGGCCGCGGGCGAACGCGGGGCACCTTCGTGCTGCCGTCGTCCCGGCCGCCCTGCTGCTGCCGCTCGTTCTGGTCTTGGTGGCGACGGACGGTCACCCTGGGCGAGCTGAGGAGGCGGGAGGGGACGGCCCGCGCTTCGGGCTTCGAGGACCGCAGGGGGGAGGGGATGGCTCGAGCTCCGACAGGCCCGTCGCTGCTGCCGTTCCGGCCTCTGCTGGCACTCGTCGGCCATGCTCCACGGTGCCTGCTCCCGACGTCGCCAGTTTCCACGAGCATCGTTCCGAAGCAAGTGCGGCGGATACTTCGGCAAAAGCTTCGTCCTGAGGCAGAGATGCAACCAGCGCAAAAGCGATATCTAGATGTATACACATATATTTATATATACAACGTATACCACCAGTCAATGGCAAGTGAACGGCCACGCTATAGGTAGAACGCTACGCGGCAAGACCGAGGCCTCGCTATGGCGAGAGCACCATCACAGGGCAGGAATGTGGCCAACGCTGAAGCGATACGACAATCCCCGAGGAGAGACGACACCACCGCCATCACGAAGAGCCAAGCAAGCTTCCCCCGTATTGCGGCGTCCCGCTCAGAATATCTATAGCTACCAGCTCGGCAAATGCGGCATCGTGGACATCCTCGCCGGAAGCTTCACGCTGGTGGCGTCGCCTCTCTGCCATCCGACCACGACGAAAAGCACCACAATCCGAGCCTGCGCCGGGGCGGGAGCACCGCTGAGGCCGAAGGTGCGGGGCACGCGCCAGGGCGGGGGCTTCGTTCCGGGGCAGTCAAAGTGGCCAGCGCCAGAGTGAGAGCAGGAGGGAGGAGGGAGGGAGGGAGGGAGGGAGGAGGGAGGAGGGAGGAGGGAGGAGGGAGGAGGGAGGAGGGAGGAGGGAGGAAGGAAGGAGGAGGGAGGAGGGCCAGAACGAATCCAAAACGCATTGAACCGAAAGGATAACACTGACCCTCACGCCGAGCGGAGAAGCACTCCCTCTCCGCCTGGGTCGCGCGGCCTGGCTGGCAAGCCCCCCGAGGTCTGCCTCGCCCAGCTCCGAAGGAGCGCGCCGACGGGCGAGCCCGTCGGCAGACAGCAGCCGCGCGCGCCCTCCGCTGGCGCTCGAGAGCTGCGCGGGCAAGATATGCATCCACATCCACTGTGTTTGGGAGTTTCGGGATCCCTTCCCAGAAACCAGCGGCGCAGTGGACACGGGTAAAACTCTGGACCCGAGAGGCCAGAGCTGTGTCCATCTCCACTGCGCCTCGGCCCTCTCGTGCCCCACACCGAGAATCCGCGACGCCGTGGGCACGGAGATGAATCCCCCCTTTGCTCCCCGCAGCGCGCGCGCGGTCCACTTCTGCCCGCGCGCGCGCTCCAGAGCCAATCAGACCCCAACGCGTGGCAAGCTGCGGGGGCCGGCACTGCGGCTGGGACCACCGCGGCCCGAGGACGCGCACACTGCAAGAGTTTGGGAGGCCTACAGACGGGCTAGGACGCTAGGCCGAGGACGCGCACACTTGAGTATCGTTTCACCGATCCCCATCCCCAGCGGCGTGGCCTGGGCCCCGCTGGCCGATGTGCCCCCCTAGATGGGGATGTAGGTCCTTCTCTTCGGGTTTCGAGGGGTGTATCCCCAACTGGGGTGTCAATTTGACTTTTCGGGGCCCCGCTGGCCGATTTACCCCCTAGATGGGGATATAGGTCGTTGTCTCAGGGTTTCGAGGGGTGTATCCCCAACTGGGGTGTCCATTTGACTTTTTTGTTTGGTATGGTGGGGGTCTCGAAGGGGAGGAGGATGGGGATGGGGATCGGTTAAACGATACTGAACACTGCAAGAGTGCTGGACGGGAAAATGACCACAGCCACTGCTTCTTGTTTGCGCCGCCCTCCAGCCGGCCGAAAAGGAAGCAGTGGCTGTGGTCACTTCCCTGGTGCCAAGCTCGACGAACGTGACCACAACCGCTGCTTTGTTTCTGCGGGCTGGAAGGCGGCAACAAAAGAAAAGCAGTGGCTGTGGTCGTTCTCACGCCCCGTGAAGAGGCAGCGGCGCCCTCGGCGTGCGGCGCCCGGCGAGGCACCGCAGCAGGCGACGCAGAGCGGAGCGACGGAGAGAGCCGCCGGCGCCCAGAGGCGGAGGTCCACGGGGCGCGCCGGCGCTGGCGGAGGCCGCGGCAGGGCGGCTGAGGTGGCCAGAGGACCCCAGGAGGAGGAGGAGGAGGAGGAGGGAGGAGGAGGAGGAGGGAGGAGAGAGGATGAGGAGGAGGCGGAGGAGGGAGGAGAGAGGTGGAAAGATGAGGGCGGGCGAGAAAGCACGCCCTCTGCGCGTCGAGTCCCGCTGCCCCTTCAGCGGGGAGAGGCGCGAGGCGCGACCCCGCGCTCTCGCGCCCTGGCCCTGGGCGCGGGCGAAGACGCAGAGGGTGGAGGAGCCTTTGGCCAACATGGCTACGGAGCCTCCTCCTCCCCCTCCTCCTCGACTGCCACCCTCCGTCCCCCTCCATTACCCTCCCTCCCCCTCCCACTCCTCCTGCCTCCCCACCTCCGCTCACCATCCTTCCCGGTCCTCCTCCTCCTCCTCCAACTTCGCCGCTTCCTCCTCCTCTCCTCCTCCTCCTCCTCTCCTCATCATCATCATCATCATCTCATCATCATCATCATCATCATCATCATCATCATCATCATCATCATCATCATCATCATCATCATCATCATCATCATCATCATCATCATCATCATCATCCATCCATCATCCTCTTCCTTTCCCTCCCTTTCCCCCTCCCTCCTCCCCTCCCCCCCCCCCTCCTCCTTTTCCTCCTCCTTTCCCTCCCTCTCCCTCCCTCCTCCCCTCCCCTCCCCTCCCCCCCTCCCCTCCTCCGTGCCCTCCTCCTCCGAGACCAGGGGCGGAAGGATGTGTACAGGAGGCCTGCCATCGAGGGGGGCGCTCGGCCCGTCGACGACCGCCACGCGGAGGAAGAGGAGCGCGCGAGGGCGGGGCGCGGCTCCTCCGACCTCTGATGGTGTGCTCTTGCCGTATTATCTCGTCCTGCACGGCGGCGGA